TGTACTCCTATAGCATGAACTTCCCCTACTTCTCTCTTAGCCCACCGTATTGCAATTGACTCCTTAGGTTCTTAAGAAGAAAGATGACCTTATGCGTGTCCTACCATCCAGCACAGAGGGGGTATTCAATAATTGCTTTGGACATGAAGGAAAGATGTCTGTAAATAAGTCGAAATCTTGCCCAGGCATTTTCAGAGTCATTCTGGAAGCACCTCATTGTTTTCTGATGTTCTCCTGCAGTGAGAAGTGCACTATTTATGGATTCTACCTACCTGTCTAGAAATTAAATTAAATAATTTGTGGGTTTTGGTTCTGTTAATAAAGATAATATGAGCAAAGGAAACCTACAGGCATAAAAACCTCAATTGAACTTACTTTTTATTTCCTTCTAAACAAATAATCATAAGAAATGATTATTAGCTTTTGATTAACTTGACTTTCCCCCCAATACATCCTCAAAGAAAAGAAATGAAATGAAATCAAGAAACAGAAGGGCCAAGAAAAGAAGTCCAATTGAATGTATCAGTGTGCAGGTTTACTATTCCCCAAGTAGGCAGTAATTAAGCCATTCTCCATTGCTCATATATTAGATGTGATCAAACCTGTATTTATCTTTTGGAACTAAAGCTCAATGTCTTATATAAGATTTGTTCTCTTTGTACTATTCCTTCAAAACTTATGGAAAGTATATTTTTAAAAAAGTATGAAGAGTGCACCAGCCTCTGATCTTTGTGGCTCTCTTAAAACCAATCAGTGACCCCCAGAGCTCCCACAACTTTCCTAAATAAAGGTGATCAAGTTAAATACATTCCAGGAACCAGAAGGGACAACCCCAAAAACCTCTGCATAATGGTTTCCTTTATTTCCTATGATTTAAAAATGCTAGTTCCCAAATCCTTGCACTACTAATAGAAGACAGAATTGCAAATCAAAGGAAAGAAAGGGGGATAAAAGGCATCTTCCCTCCCTGTAACAAAGGGAACTTACCATGGCCAAAAGGAGGAACAAGCCTTTCTAACTCAGCTCTTCCAATCTTCATTCTAACATTATTAGTGGGAAGTCATTGTTGGCACATGGAAGGGTAAATCTGTATTTTGAAATCCTTTCTCCTGTCATTGCTCACAGAAAGCAATAAGAAACACCTAATAAGTAGAGTCTCTTATCGGAAATGAAGGCTAAAGGAAGTCAGGTCCTGGGAAACACTTAGAAAGTAAATAGAAATGACAGCTCCTCAGTGCTCTCTTGGGGAGGAATGTAAGCTGCTTCCCACACTTGGGCTTTATAAAAACTTTGATAAGTAAGAAATACATTACAAAAATACACAGTAGCTGGGGAAATTTTGTTTGATATTGGCACTAAGAATTTAGGGCCTGCAATGTGCAGGAGGCATATTTTTTTTGCATTGGCCATTTTAGTATTCAAGCCTCCTGTACTGCTTTCTAATAAGTTAAGAATGAAACAGGAGACTGCGTGCAGGTGTGAGAAATGCAAGAAAAGCAGTACTGTAAAATAAAAATGAATGAAAGTGCATTTCAACTTCCCTTTTATTATTAACAGGCAAGAGAACAACAATGCCAACTTTATTGTTATTACTTACCACTTCACACTTATAAAAGGACTTTACAGTCATTTTTACATGTTATTTTTTCAATACTTTTTCTGAAAGAGACTGGGGAGCTCTGTCACTATGCTTAAGATCAATTTTATAATGTTATATTAAATGATTTTTCCAAAGAGGAAGACAAATACGCAGTCTGTGCCAGCGTGCTACCAAAACAGCCTTTTCAGTGAGAATAATTGCTCTTTTTGTTGTTTGGGTAGATCAAACCACTGGTTGGTTGACTGAGGAATTTTGTTTTCTTTTTGTTAATGCAGGCCTACTTTTTCACTTCCATTCACCTCTACTCTATTCAATCTATTATTATTTAAGTGTCTATTATTATTAGAGTGTTCCTAAAATATAAATAACACAATAGGAACAAGACCTAAGGAAAATTCTGACTGACCTTCCCTTTAATTCTATAATGCGTGTGAGTAGCACGGCTTCCACAAGGGGGTATTTGTGCTCCTGCCTCTTTCTAAAAGGAGCATGTCTGTGCCACAGGCTGTGAAATGTTTGCTCAGGCCAAGTGGGCAAAGGATTCTAAGATTCAGAAGCTCTAGCTAACCTCGGGATTTTGTGTGTTAGCTTATTTGTTAGTTTGTATGGAGACTGTCATTCAATAAACAAGCAGACCCCAAACCAGGAGCTGTCTCCTGGCATTAGCTGTTCATCCTCTCCTCCCTGCAAAGTAGCTAAGCAGCTGTTCTGGGTCAAAGCAATGGCACTGGGAAGCTGTGGAATCTCTAGTGTTTCTTTGGATTTGGGGAGAATTTGGATATTTTCTTATTCCAATAAGAAACATTTCTTCATTTATTACTAGATGGTCCAAATAGCTTAAAAACCTTTCATTTACATTTATTTAGTCGATGTAGCCACATACAATGCCTTAATTAAAAAACTCAAACCAACAGCAGAAATCACCCAGATAAACTGTCTATATTTCTCCAACAAACCTGAAAAATATGCCTTCGCATCGGGCTTTGTTGTCACAACCCAGCAGGTAATAAACTCCATTTTTTAAAGTACAAGTCTCACTGAAATAGAGTATGAGTAGAGTAGACATTTATTTCAAAGCTATGATTATGCCTGAGTATAGAAAAATGTTTAAGATCTTTGAATATGTTCACATGATAAGAACTTCTCTATACATTAATGTCTTTATTTCCTTCAATTTCAAATGTGGTGAATGGAGTCAACAGATACTCATTTATCTTTACTTCTTAGTAGATTATTACTTCCGACATATAAAACTATGGAAAACAGGTTCCCTACTTTGGAGCAGTGGGTCCAAGTGTGTCTGTTGTAGTGCAATTTTTTTCCCCTTCTCTATGGAGAGCTTGAGTTGATTGATGCCTCTAAGGTATCAAGGTCTGTGCAGTCCTTGTGCTAATATTGGTATGGCTGTTACAATAATAGCAACAGTCCCTGAAATTTATTGAGTTCATTTTATGTGCTAAATGATTTATAAACACAATTTTATTTTAAAAAATACTCAAATTACGATGATTAAATGAAGTACCCATGACTCAAGATGTGTATATGACTTGCTCAATGTCATAGACATAAGTTTGAACCCAGTGTGACTGATTCAAGTTCATGCTTTCTTACTACATCCCTCTAAGTAAAGAGTTACATCAGGCAATGTAAAAAAATTGAGTAGGATGACTATATGTCCCAGTTCATACCTGTTGTCCCAGCGTAATTAATTTCATGCTTTAAAGTGTCCCAGTTCAGACAATAAGCTGATCACCCCGTTTCAGAACATGGTTCAAAATGAACAGAAGACTTTTCTTAGGTACTGTTCATACTACTTTAATTAATCTTTTTGCCTTTAATGAAGGGCTTCAAACAAATAGCACATTGGGCCTGGCCTGCCCTATTTGGGAAAACAAGATGGATTAGTAAATGAATATCATTTATTGCTAGGGTCTAATATTTCCCTGTCCCTTAGCCTGTTTCTCTGTCATCTCTCTTTGAGAATCTTTTGGCCTTTTTCTCTCCTCCTCCTGGTATTAGTGTCTCATTGAATGTAGACTTTCTCTCTATTGATCAAGTGTTAGAAAATGAATTCTTTGGTTTTGCTTTAGCTTCAGTTTCTGATGAATCTTTACAATGCAGCTTGGCCATGCATTCAGGTATTTAAGTTGCGATTTTTGTCAAAAACAACAGATTAAAAATCATTTTAAGGCATCTCTAACTTATTTGTCTTCCTCCCTTCTCTTTAATCTTGCTGCTACCATTCCACCACTTCTTTACAAAACCGTAGTGTATGGGTGTCCGGGGAGCTTTCTCGTTGCAGTTCCTGGACAATGCTACCGCAGGTTTCGCTGGGGTAAGCCAGCTCTGAAATGTATTATTTCAAGCACCACCTCACATGTCTTTGCTCCTCCTCTGCTCTTATGGGCAAACTGTTGTCCAGTTTCTATTATTTTAAAGGGCTTTCAGTAAAAGGAAAGGAAAATAATTTTTTTTAACTGATAAAATATATAACTGCTTAAAAGACACATGCAGGAAGAAAACCTAACTTGCACTTTCGTCGGTTTTAAATTGTATGGCTTTGATTTATGGATCAAAATTCCTCATTTATTATTTTATCTATACAGCTCTGGGCAATTTTGACAGTTAAAATTTAGTTTTATTGACCAGTGCAGCCACTGTGCCCACAAGGGGACCGGTGCACACAGCCTGCTGCACTCAGGAAACGATGATTTTTGATTCCATGACTGAGCCAGATTGGGAATCATAACCGATATAACAATAAGTTCCAAATCTCAGCGCCCAAGGCAAGAGGTTTGTTGTAAAACACAATCACCCTTAAGGAGGGAGGGGGAAGATCTTGGGTGGAAGTTTGCAAGCACAATTTAATGCAGCTGGCAATAGGCTACGACTATATCTGTCGGTCCAAACTGGGGAGCAACAGAGGGGGTGTTTCTCTAAAGACCAAGTCCACAGAGTAAAGATTAATGAGCAAAATGCCTAAAAAGCAAAAGGAATGTTAGATTCTGAAACAATGACCTGAACAACCAATCTGATGTGAGAACATTTACTAGTGCTGTTAGCCAACCTTTCACTTCTCAATGAACAAAAAAAACCTGAATGATTTCTTTTGGAAGATCACGGCTACCTGCCCCCCACCCCGTCTCAGCACACACAGAAACACAAACTCAAGCGGTGATTTTAGGCCACTTTTAATTTAGGCCTATTCAACTACCAACTTGGCCACCTTTGCAGTGTTAATTTGGTCTTTTCCTCTAAATCCCCAGTGCTACATAAACAGACCTCCAAAGGGTAACAAATCAATAAAATGTCTAATTTGATTAGCCAGCTCTTCGAATTCCTCAAGACAGCTCGAACGTGAAATAAACAGGTGGGTAAATAAATAAAGAAGGGCACTCACTTGTGAGTATTTTCCATGTCTTCTTTTCATCGTCGTAGTACTGGACCAGATTGCTGGGAAGGCGGTCCGGCCCAGGAGGCAGTCCTCCAACCAACAACAGCATTTTCTTGTTAGAGCGAATTCTTCACCCAAAACAAAAGGGGAGATGAATAACCACATTATTGTAGAGCCTTTTTAGTGGCAACGAAATCATAACCATCAAAAGAATGTTCCTTGCTTGCAGATTTCTATTTCATTTTTCCTGTTTCTTCTCCCATTCATGTCTCAACAGTTTTTTTGAACCAAGCAGAAAAATGATCAGAAGAGTGGCATATCCCCATACTCATGGAATAATAAGCTCCCTTTATGCAATTTGTTAGAGGTTCATTCTAGAACGACCTTTTTCTTATATTATCCCTTTAAATCATCACTCTTTACAGCTGAGTACACATGAAATGCTCTGGAGTTGTACTAAGGTTAAGCATTAAAGTTGCATGTCAAAAATCGTATTAGTCAAAATCATTATTATAAGCCATTCTCCACTCAAAGAACCTTGAAAAAATTAAGGTTATGCAGAGAGTTTGTGAGCCAACTCTTTAATCACCCAGGGAACTTCAAATGCAAGTTTGGTACAATTAGTAGCACAGGGCTAACTGGGGTGGCTTAACCAGTATGATCAGGACTTTTTGTTTGTTTAAGTTAGCTCAGCCTTCCTCCCCTTCCCAGGTCCCCCTCCCCTCTCTGCCCCGCCTGCCACCCCATCCCCGGGCACCACTGGCGACACAGCAGCACCAATTGGTAAAAATGAGACTGTGAGGTTGTTTTGAGCCTCCCCAGAGTGGAGCCCTGCCAATGCTTGCCACTGATCCAGCGGCATGAACCTGCTCAGCTGTGCAAAGTCACTCTAATTCCCTCCCTCTGTTTTTCTACCTTCTCCCCCAGGGGGCAACCACTGAAAGGAGTGACTACCCACCCATCAAGAGCTGGCAATTCGCTGCTATTAACCGTGACTGTGATTCCCAGTCCGCCTGGCAGTTCCTGAGAACAGGCCTGCGACGTCTCATATGCAGTAAAAGCTGTAAGATGCACCCTGGCCGGCGGACTCGACCTGATGGATGTACATCCTCGGGAACAGTAATGGGTTGAGCACACTTGCGATTGGAGCGGGGAGGGGAGGCCCAGACCCCTACAAGGGGCCTGCTGATTTAACTGTCGCTTTACATATAATTGAACTTTTCATTTACCTGAAAGGCTGAAGGTGGTGGTGAAAGAAACGGAACCACCATGTTTGAAGGAAAAAGTCAATAAATACAAAAGGGTTCCTCTGAATCTATTATGACGCATTCGGCCCCGTTGCTGTCTTTCAGCTTCAAGGACGCTTGGCAAAGTACGCCCCGGTGGAGAAGCACTGTTTGTTGGTTAAGAACCTAACATTCGGAGAGTTAAGTTAATACAGTTAATGGCATTTCCATGTGAAGGAAGGGAACGAGAGAATTCCTTTAATGAAACTCTGGAGCCATTGAACGCATTGTGTATGCCTGAGTAGGAAAAACACCTTCTGAAGAATCTCCAATTAGGGACTCATGGGTAGGAGGCACCGCACTTACAGAAGAATGCCTAACATAGTATTGGCTTGCAATATTAATTTTGCCATAAACAAAACCCCACTCAATTTCTCTTAATTTGAAGCACTTATTTTTTTAATTTTTATATTTATTTATTTATTTATTTATTTATTTTAATTTTTTATTTTTCAGAAGTACTTTGGATTTGTACCCTTATAGACCAGTATTTGGGAGATAAAAACAGAAGTCAATAGCAAAGAACTTCATATTTTGAGGATTTCAGTGATTGGTGTGGTTTGTTGAGAGGGGTTAAGGAAACTCAGTGCATTAAGTACCTCTCTTTTACTTTGAAGTGATATACACATAATTGATGTATCATATAATTTCCTAAATGCATGGTTACAGGAATAGGCTATTTTTTTTTACTGTAGTTTTAGCCCAAATAATCAACCACTCTGTGAGTATAAGAGAAGTCAAGATAAGAACAAATATATATATTTTTAGATTGCTGTCAGTTACCATGTGTAGACAGACCTGTTCATCTGGAAGTCATGATTCTGTGGCTGTCGTGACAGGACACATGTATGTGCTGCCAGACTGCAGGTGTGGTCAGGTCAACCAGTATCTGCTGGTCAGATGTAGAGGAGAGGGCTCATTGAAGTGATGGTGTCACCAGAGCAATATAATTAAATCTTTATTTTAATATTTATGTTTTTAAAAAATATTTAAATAAACCTGCTGCTTTTATAATGTGTTTCATGAGCGACAAAGGGAGATAACTGCATGGTTCATATAGGTTTTTAAGGTCTTTTTATTCATTGATAAGTCCAGCTTCCCTGGACCAATCCCACTGGTGATTTTCAACATTGACTTAAATGGACCAGCTCTGCAGACAAGAGAGAATCTAGAGTCTTTGTCTTCTCCATCCAAAGAGCCAGTCTTTGGCTTCTTAGAGACTATGTTTTCTTACCATTTGTCCTCTAAGAACTGGACTGAGACTACCAACACGTAGGCCACTGAACAGTTGGCAAATGTAACAACCTTCTTCCCCACCAACAATGCCATGATTCAAAGGGTTAGTTAGCATAATAGCAACGAGAGCTCTAAGATAAATCTGTAAACCATCCAAGTGTCCTCAGGGATTGTGATGAGGAATTACATGGAAGTAAGGAAAATCCCACCTACCCTTATTGTCAGTGTTGTCTGTGACGGGGTAGTGCTTTGAATTCATTATGAATGGCATTCTTGGTGAGAAAAGATACATTCTAAGTCTTTCGCATTGTGTGTGTATTTTTTATGTCATCATTCATTCAATTTGTTTTGTCATTTTACTCAGAGTATTTTGTTTCTAAAGCTTGTTACACAATTTTCAGTATTGATGCTATTTAACTAACTAAAGTTTAAAACTCTACCTTATGAAGGCGAATTACATAGAAACCAGAAATAGGATAAAACATGTGAGAAGCAGCATAACACAGAAGAAAGAAAACATAACAAAACACATTTGAGTGTTTTTCTCACCATTTTCTCTGCTGACTCTCAAAACAGCCCTATGTGGTAGGTATAATAACTCCATTCTACAAAGAGGTGAGAAAGTTCCCACAGTCAAACACAGTGGCAGAAACAGTGTTGAGACACAGGCCTTCCAGGTTACCAGACCAATGTCTTTTTAAAATTCAAATTTATTCATTAACATTTATTTTACTATAACTTCTAATTTAGACCTAGATGACCCAGATTCTAGTGTTAATTTTGCTATTCATCGGAGTGACTTTGTATAAATGACTTGGCTTCTCAGACACTATGTTTTCTTAGCATTACATAGACTAACAATATCTGACCTGCCTCTTCAAAGGACTTGTCATGAGGATTGTATAAAACAATGAAGTTAAGAGTTTTATGTAAACTCTAAGGTAAATTGTTATTAATCAGTCTTTAGATATTGACAATATAATGTGGGCTTTATTTCAACATGACAAATCTTATTAAATAGTTAAAAAAGAAAAGTAATATTTTTCACTGAGATTCTTATTGAGTTTATATATATAAATACAAGCTAATTAAGAGGACTTCACTACCCAGTTTTTCTTATAATTATGGTCTTGGAAAATTAATACTTTAATAATATTGGCCATCTTTTGAGCCTTGTTATAAGAAAGTATACATTTAGACATTACATAAAACTATGAACCTTTCTGGATCCAAATAAAGGAACCTAATAAAGATTACTCCACGTGTCTTAAGAACAAAACAAATGAGACAAACCATCACATATTTTACTTTGATATAAATGCAATGTCAACTATTCAATTACTCCTAGAAAGTAATACAGGTGAATAATTCCTGTAGAAAAGCTTCCATTCTTTTTACAATGTGCAATTATAATAGTGACAATGACAATAATGACAAATAATAATGATGTGTATTGGATATTGAAAACTCTAATTATCATGCTATTTATTTGTTTGATGTATGTGAACTTCAATTTGAAAACACAATGAAAAAAAGACACCTTGTGAACTAGCAAAGTGAAATTAAGATAATCTGAATTAACTTGCTAAAGTGGGTTTCAATTATTCTTTTCGAAATAATTCCAGTAGAGCCTTACAGATTTAATTGTAGATTAGGCAAAATTTACAAACATAGCACTATTGCAATAGAGTCCCTTCATATGGCAACATGGTGTACTTTTTAGAAGCTCTTTACTTAGGGAAACAATTTAGCCCAAATTAGTATGTTCTCTTCAAATATGTTAATATTTTAAAAATACTTCTTTTTGCTTGTCATCTTAGCACCACCTTTGCCTAAAGTAATGTATTTAAGAGGTAAGAAATTTGATAAATTTGAGTAAATAGCTGAGTATGTCATAATAAATAATAATATTTGGATGCCTTTGAGTTTCTAGATTCTTGCATAGAAAAATATAAGGTTAAAAGGAGAGGGAATCTGAAAGTTTCCTTTGTTCCATCTGAGTAATTGCCCAACATTTACCATGTGTCACATCCGTGAGTGTGTGTGCGCATATGTATGCGTGTGTGCTCGTGCGCATACGCACTTTGGTTCCCTGGATGAACGATTGAAGGATGACCTAAAACCTCCTGGTGTAAACAAATTTTTCATCGTACTGGTTTTCTAAGTACGGTAAAGTCTCATTTATTTTTATTTCAGTGATTTGGAACTTTAATAATTGAGAAACAGGCCAGCTAAAGTTTTTCTTTCCATAATACATAAATAAGTTTTCAATAACTAGGTTAAAAGAAAAGTTTTAACCTATTTAATATATCAGGTGACGTGCTGGCACTTTAGAACTACTAACGTACATTTAGATGACATTCATTGTACAAATTATAAATAATTCTCATTTATTAAAGAAAATATTCTGCAATGTTTTAAGCACAGTTGAATCAGAGACTTAGAAGAGAACTTGGAAGTCATCTAGTTCAGTGATTCCCAAGGATCATGGAGGGAATTACAAAATTTAGATTCTTGGTATAAATTCTCAGGTCCCCATTCCCAGAGATTACGATTCAATGGGATGGGCCCTTAAAAATCAATAGTCGTGCAGTCTTCCAGTTGAT